TGTCTGAGTCCCTGTTAGAGCTGGTTCAAGCAGAACACATTTATCTAGGGACACGATGCAGCTGGATGTGACTGCCAACAAACGCTTAGGTGGCAGGATTCATTATGCATGTTCTTTATCGTGAACTCCTTTTCAGTAGTGCCCGATGGACTATAAATATCACTTGCCATGAAATGCTGATTTGTGCTTGGAGACGCTTTACCACACCCAGAGTTAATTCCTAGTTCTCTTTTAACACACCTACCAATGTTTTGCATCATTGCTGTATTTTTTAAAAATATCTTATGATTGTCTTATTGACTTTAACATAACTTAAAACTGGGAAAATTAAAGTGGACCCTTCCATCTCTAAGATTCATGAGCATACAAAATAAAGTCTATTAAAGCAAATGTATTCATGGAGCAGCTGTATAAAAGTATTAGGAGTGAAATTTTTCAAACCAAATAAAAAAGGCTTAAGAATTTCTAAATGTATATAAAACTTTTTTCATCCTCTTGAAAAACTGATCACCCAAAGGAAATTTAAATACATTTGAGGTTTTATCCATGTTGTTCATGGATTATAACTAGTTATAACTAGTTATAACTAGTCCTTTCCAATAATGGAACTTTGTCTCTTACTTCTTTGTATGCCCGGCATCTGGTATAGCTGTATAGATGTGGTCAAGCGTTACTTAATATGTCATTCCTATTTTTTGTGAATGTTGAAACAAGTAAGTATATATCTGATTATATTTCATAATATAATGTCTATGTAATCATTAGATGGCTGTGTGCATTTCTTTTTTCTCCTTTGCTGTGCCCAAATGTTAACATTCCTCTGATCAGTCATACATTTTCTAGCACTATGAATAATTCTGTAGCAGGTACAAACACAGAACTAAGAATGGCAAAATGTAGTTTAACCAACTTCTCTAGAGTTTAACTCAAAACTTGCTACAACCAATTTGATTCTGACCATGGTGTAGTTGCTAATTTCAAATAACCTAAACATGGAAAGAGTTGAAATTACTACTTCCCCATAGCTAAAATGCAAAATCCCAGGAGAATTGCTTTTGTGTCTTTGGTCTATTTTATGTCTTCAGTTTTACACTCTTTCTCAAGGTCATTAGTTAAGGAAATACTAGTCTCAGAGGTATCACTAGACATCTTCACACTAATGCCTAAGCGGCTTGAAATTTTCCTCTTCATTTCTGCATAAAACATTTCAATTCCTTGAATTGTTTGATAGCCCATTCCCTAGATGATTTAACAAGTGTGTTGATAAAACAGAATACTTACATTTGAAAATCTTGTGGAATAAATATAGAACAGACCAACTTTTTAAAAGATACGTTTTTTTTAAATAAAGAATGTTTCAAATTTTCTCAATGACAAATACTCTTTAAACTTTAAGAGGGAAGGAATAGTCATTAAAATGTGAACTGGAAGGGATCATGCTCAGCGAAATAAGCCAAAAAGAAAAAGAAAAATACCGGATGGTCTCACTCATAGCAGGAATCTAGAAAACTTAAATAAGGTACCAGGAAAATGAATATAAGAAAGTGAAAATCAAAATCAACAAAAAACTATGAACCAGAGACACTTTTTGGGGGGTGGGGGGCGGGAGGGGAAGGATTGGGGTCAGAATGGGGCGTTTGCAATTGTATGGGGGAATATAAAAATAAAATTTAATATTTAAAAAAAAAAAAATGTGAAAGTGGGTTAATCCACATTGCTGTAGTACTTACTCTACTGAGGCACCCTTATTCAGTCTGGGTAATGATTGCAATTACATGATAACCCCAATTTTCCACCTCTGAGTTTACATTTGTCCTAAGGCTATTGCTGAACAACAAAATTGCCTCAGGTGACTGCCCCTAAGCATGAAATTATTTTCAACAACCTGAAACAGAACAGTGTGATGAGTTTAAGAAATGTTTCTTAGGAGATGGTATAGGAGTCACTTTTTATCTCTGTTGCCGATCTCATCCATCTGATTTGAAAGTTAAAATTAACTTTCATCCTATATGCTCTGCTCCTGCCAGATATGATGTCAAACTAATAAAGTTGCTTCCACATTTACAAGCTCCCCTCGGAGTAGAACAAACTTTTGAAGAAAGCCAAACCATGTCAAAGAACACAACTAAACAATTACAATGACAGATAACTTATTACAAAGTACATTTTGTCAACACCCAAAAGATACTAGTTTGATGCTGAATATTCTAAATTGTGGAAGACTTTGGAAGAATCACTTAAGGATTCACTGTGCCCTAGAATTACATATGGGACTACCAACTGAGAATTAACAGGACCCATCTTTGCCTTTTTGTTTTTGTGATGGTTTCTTTTGAGGTACAAAAGCTTTCTAGTTTAATATATTTATCATTGTTTATTTTTGCTTTTGTTTCCCTTGCCATGGGAGTTGCTTCCCCAAATACATCTTTGCAGTAGATGTCCTGCAGTGTGTCACCTATGTTTTCTTCTCAGTATTTTATAGTTTCTGTTCTTACATCGAGAGCTTGAAACCATTTCTAAAACTTTCAATATGGCTGCCAATTTACTAAAACCTTATCTATTCATTTGAGTCAATTGCATTTGTCCATGATTTTGTGTAATAAGAGGTAAAGGTATAAACTTACTTTTGTTCTTTTTTCCAAGTATCTCCCTTAAAATATCATGGGGAAAGATTCTGGAATAAAACAAAGGTTAAATATAACTTAGATTTTCCTATTCAGGACTTATTTTATGAAAAGAAACTGGTTAAATGGGCTATATGGAAGTAATATTTCATTTCTTAAAATAACTCTTTAGTTTTCATAAGGGTTCCAGTTTTGTACTCACGAAGTACTTAACACTGGGGACATCTGACATTTCCATAGGTCTTATTTGTGGTCTTTACTTTTATAGCCGCGGCAGTGAACACTTCTAAGAACAGACACACAGGATACTAGTACACCACTTTTGTTTCTCATGTTTCAATATTCTATCTTCCAAGTGTTTTTATTTCTTGAAGTCTAAGGCATTATCACTATATAATGAAGGTATTAAATAAGAACTTATTGAACTGTTGGTTTTCATACAACGAGAAATATCCAGTCACTATAATCTAGCTATCAGATGTCCATTTGCTATGTTTCCACCACCTGCTTATAAAAGTTGCCACCTGACTTATATGAAAGTTGCAAGTTTATATGCATGATCTTTAATGGTAGCGTTAGAAAATGTATGTGCTATCCTTAGTTTAGCAGGAGTCAGAAAACTGTTTCATCGTGAATGAATGTGACAGTTAATCTCATTAAATGATAGGAAACTGTGAATAAAAATATTGGAATTCTCTTCTTTTACTATTATTGCTATTTTGTATCTGCCTAGCATGAAATATGTGGCCCCATATTCTTGCCATTGCCAGATTTTTCCATTTGTAATTCCTTACTTCTGCCGGGTTTTGTGTTTTTGTTTTTTTTTTTAATGGCAAAAAATAAACAAATCACTGTTTTCAATACAAAAGCAGCATGGTCTATGGGAAAAGCATAGCTGGGTTCATTCATCTATTTCCTTTCTTTTTGGGTAATCTGAAACAAACACTATTCATTGCCAAGCTCCCTTAGCCCTTTTACTTAACTAAAACAGGACTATACTATACTGTTGGACTTCCCCACAGTTTGATATAGTTTGATATATTTGCCACTGTTTTTTTTTTTTCTTTTGTTTCCCTTGCCATGGGAGTTGCATCCCCAAATACAGCTTTGCAGTAGATGGCCTGCAGTGTGTCATCTCTGTTTTCTTCTTTTGAGTATTTAAATCCAGATCTTGAAGCCATTTCTAAAACTTTTAACACAGCTTTTAATTTGCTAAAACCTTATCTATTCATTTAAGTCAATAGCATCTGTCCATGTTTTTGTGTAATAAGAGGTAAAGGTGTAAATCCACCTTTTTTTGTTTTGTTTTGTTTCAAGTACCTGCCCTAAAATATCATGGGGAAAGATTCAGGAATAAAACAAGGGCATTAAGAGTGAGTGTGTGAATGAAGTAAGACTGTCCCTATGAGGAAAGGGCCTAGTACAATACACAGATGCTAAAAGGCATTCAATATGTGACAGATTAAGTGATTATACCCCAAAGAGATTTTATTCATTCACTGCAAAAAGTTTGTGGATGTCTACTCTCTATATGATGAGGTAGTACCCTCATGGGGCTTATATTATGGACAGTAAGTCTGAAAATGAATAAGTCATCCAATAGGGTGTTGTTGTCATAAATAAGGTCTGAGGCAGCAGTAAAACAACAGGGTCTGTTTTCTGCTATTCCTTCCTTTCTAGCCTCTTCCACAGAATTGCAGTTCTACTCAACCTCAAACCATGAGCTTATCCAACTTTCACATTGTAAGGAAGTTGTGTGTGAAACATATCACTCAGCACTGTTTCATGGGCACAAATGAAAGAAATGTCTACTCTAAAACACACTCCAAAGAATAAAATATGCTACAGGGTTATTAGACAATGAACAAGAAGCATACTGAAAACAGAGTAGGCACATTGACCAGCCTGCCAGAAATGTGAGACAGATGTTATCTAAGAACAGGTGGAATTAAAGAGTGGCATCTTATGTCCCCAGAGAGTTCTTGGTTCCCCCTGGTATTTGTGTGCAGCTTCAAACAAAGTGATAACCAGTGGATTACAGATGTGGGTGAACAGGTGGTTTTATGTTCTGTTCCACTGAATTAAAAAAAATGAAAACATCATGGTCTAACCATTAATTTCAAAGTCAAATTGTTAACTCATAGTTTTCAGATCTGTGTTTTTGTTTTTGTTTTTTTGTGGTAATACTCAATGGCCATAAATCATCAACAATATTTGGCTATTGGAATATAAATAGGAGACAACTTACTTTTTTTTTTTTTGCCCATCGCCACCTTTAGAGATCTGTAGTGACCCCCTTTTATCTATACCATAGGAGTGAGACTTCCCCTCACCCTTTTACCACATTCAGGAATTAAAATGTCCTAAGTAGTCAAATTCCATTCAAGGTGGGATTTGTTCTTCCATTCATTTCACATCTGCTTTCATCAAGGAAGAGAATGAGAGAATTAAGGAAGAGAGCAAGGTACATAAAATGCTGAGCTAATGGAGCACCCAAATAGGATCTTTAGAGACTGTGACACTATTAATGCACTCATTGAGTAAACTCTCCAAATCCTACCTCAGTTTTGGTGAATCTTCAGCCACTGACAACTTGCCACTACAAGGGACATGTAGGCAGGACCCTCCAGATGGCTCACAGCATCTTTGCCACAATAGATATGGATCTGCAGTTTACTACAGTATGATCCCTTCTCCATACATGACTTTTTCAGCCTGTCACCACTTCTGCAGACGAAAGCAAAGACTGATTTAAATCACACACCCAAGACCCTGGATATACATGTCAGTTACTTGTGGAAGAACCCTCTCCTCAGCCTCTAGCCCAGTGACTCCACAGAGACTGGACTATGACTGTTTAATGTGTACTTATGCCAATCTGGCAGGGAGTGGTCAGATTCTTTTTACAGGCAGCTCCATTTTCTACAGATTTTGGTCTGAATGGGAGTGAGGATCACATGGATAACCTCATCCTACCCTACCATGCAAGGGGAAGAGAAAAGTCAAAGCTCTCTCTATGCCTGACCATCCTTTTCAAGGAATAGTCCTCTTGGATTTCTAGAGCTGGATAATTTCTAGAACAGGATGAGTTCTCTTATTAAATCGTCTTAGATACATGGTCCTAGCAGTTGGCGTTTTCTAGAACATGGGCATATTGCCACTCTTTTCCTATATTTAAGACTTAGCTGATATTCCAAGATTGCAGGAAAACCCTATTCCATACCCTATCATATATTATTCACTGTAATTCAGACATGATCCAAATAGAAATATCAATAAGAATGCTAAAGGGGGGACTGTAATATTGGAATCCACAAGACTCACCTGGTATTTTATTTAAAAAGGAATTTGTCTACATGCAAATCTGATTATATTCCACCTCTCTTCCTGGAAAAGCATTCCCATTTTCTTCTGTCATTTCTTAATTTGTAGTATCACACTCTTACCTTTAAAAAAGAGAGACAAGAAGCAGAGGATCATGGGAGGAAAATAGGGGAAAAATGCTTGTGAACGAAATCTAGAAATTTCAGATGATCATTTTATCCTATTGATCTGAATTATTCATGTCACTTTCCCCGCAGAGAAAACAAAATAGAAATTGATTTATGTTTCCTACTTTTCAACATGACCTACATCTGTCAATGGATATGTGCTTGAAGGAGTATTTTGGGAACAACATATATTAATTTATCCTGAATAACAGAAATAATCTTCTCAGAAACCATTCTGTGCTGAATGTGGCAGGATGTTCCCAGCTGAGCTCAACCAGCTTTGAGATGCAGAGCCTAGCTGAGGACTGACTGCTGACTAGTGGGGGTGATGGCCCTCAGGCACTGATTTACAAGAGTTGATAAGCCTGGGGATAAGGGAATCTTCAAAGATTGGTGCTAGGTGCCTGGAGATTTTCAAAATACATAAAATCAAAAGATAAGAGGCATCAATGTCCCAGCCTAGTGGCTAGGTCAGATCCCCATTAGAGAGGTCTGAATTTCTTAGAGGATTTTCCAGTTTATATGTTTCTGAATCCTGTTAACCATGTGGTCTTCAAACACACTTTCCAATTTCAGTGGAAAAAGTTTACATATTTCCTTATTTTAATTCTACTATGTTGCCTTTGTGCGTAACAGTGTAGTTAAAGCAACAATGAAAAAAATACCTTTCTGTACTTTATTATGAGATATGGACAGTGATTTGTTAAAAATTTTCACTCTATTAATACCCCCGTATTGTGAATAATACATTTGTATTGGTTTTATGAACCTGACCTTAAAAAAGTAAAACTGAACATGTGCATTATGCTTAAGCCATAGCATTTATTTTCATTAACAAAGTAATATTGTTTCTAGGACTTAAGAAACTATAATTAATTCCTAGCCCATGAAAAAAACACTGTGTAGGGGACTGCAATCATCAACCCTAAGATTTCCAGCCCCCACCAAATATGAGAGAAAATTAGTGTGATCACTGTATATCTCACCACTCTTCGGTCTTCTCTTATCTAATTACACATCACAGGGTTTCCCCTTGTATCGGCTTTACTATTATTTAATGTAGGCATTTCCCCCAATGAAGCAAAAAATAAAGTTATTGAGAACCCCCAATATTTATTTACCTTTTAGTCTCAACCACACAGACAATGATTATACCATTTCTTGAGCCAAAGCACAAAATCTAAAGGCAAAGATTTCTTGGCCCAGTTATGGTGGGATGCAATCCCCCGGCCAATTACTATAATCAGGGATCTGGCCACATCAAATACAGACTGCTTCTGTTTCTAATAGGTTGATGATTATGAGAGATGGACACAGTTCTAGGAAAGTGAGAAATCTTCCCTAATAAGAAGATAACAGCTTAAGGTTTTATTCTTTCATTCATTCACTCATTATTTGCCAGACATTTTACTAGATTCTGATTGTAAGCCATACAAATAAGAATGTACAAATCTGAGATTTTGGGAGAGGTCTGCCTGACATCAAAGTCTAAACCCTTCTACACTAAGTTTCACTAGAACCACCTGAGAGAAGTCATCACAAGCAATCTGAATTTTTGGCAGTGGACAAAATTCAGCACACTGGAGTTTATTCTCTTTACAAACATTTAGGAGCATGACTAGAAGAGAGAAAACAATTATCTCCAAAGGTAAAAGATGGTTGTCTTTAATTTGTACTTTGGAGGTGTAGGGTAAGGAAAAATGTCAGGCTTTTCTGCCCTCCCGCCATTAGGATAGATGCCGGAACCCTGCGGTCCTGAATGCATGCCTGATGACGGGCACCTGGAGTAGGGTGTGGGCATAGGTAGATGGGGTTCGACTGGGCTTTTAAGGGCGGCGTCAAGGGGATGCCAACAGAAGCTGAGATAGAAGCAAGAGAAGCGGAAGCCAAGAGAAGGCCGGAGAGCCCAGAGTGAACGCCTGCTGGGGGCTGGGAGGCCTGCCAGCCTACTGGCTCCCCAGCACCCCTACCTGCGTGTACCTGGTAATCCCAATAAAAACCTGCAAAACCACTAAGGACTCTGACTCCTCCTTTACCAGGTCTCCTGGATCATAGAAAACCTGCTCAGTGTCATTCCTGCCTCTACAGAGGATTTTAGAGATAATGACTTTTTAAAATGTAATTTATTCATTCATGAAAGTAGTTTGTACATATATTCGAATATAAAATTGAGAAAGTACATACACAGTAGCATTACTTGAAGTCATGTTCATTTCTTTCCAAGTTTTCGGCATTCATTTTTGTTTGACTATCTGGTTGACTTGCCATAATAAATTCTGTGATATCTAAGTGTCTCAATATAACAAGGATTATTTCTCAATTGAGTATTCAATATAAGAGAATTTTGCTCCACTTCAGAAAATTTCCAGCTGATGGACACTCACAATAAAAAATGTGGTTTCAGAACTCCTTTTAGCAGAAGATTTGAAAGAGTAGCACATCAAACGGTACTTCGAAAATGGTTGAGACATAGGATAAATACTTCACAAATCTTTGGTGTACAATATAACTTCAGTTTACAGGTTTGCTAACCAGAGGTATAGGACTTAGATTAAAAGGCATTGACTGAATCACACAAAATCCTTTCTCTCTTTCTTTCTTTATTTTTTTGTGGGACCCTCACCGGTGGCCGGGGATCGAACTGGCGCTGCAGAGGCTGTGGGCAGCCTCGCAACCCAGTGCTCAACCACTGCGCCACCAGGGGAGGCCCAAAATCCTTTATTTTTATATGCCACCTCCAAGTATCAGGGAACACTTCTTATGCCCACCCCCTTTCTCCCCACTGCTGGGCACCACAAGGACTAAACCTTGAAGATCCTTTGGGCTCAGGGCAAAATATCTAATTTCTAACGCTGCTTAATTTCTTTTGCTATATATGACATCTTTTGACAAAATACATTCCTTCTAGTTCTAATTCTCTAACTTCAGTAGGGGAATATTGTACTTAATGTATCATTCTCTATTAACTCAAGCAACTCTAAACACATTTAAAAATATTTTTTCAGCAAGTAATTAACAAGAAATATAAATTTCTAAATGAACGAATTTTAGTGTCACTCCAAAGTAAATCATATGATGCACTGTGAAATCTAATAATAGACACAGAAACAAGAAAAAACCCCAGAAATTCTATTTTGCTGCTGCCAACAGGCTGGAAATCCCCTTTAAGAAATATTTTAAATTAAGATAGCAGCTGGAAGCATTTAGCTATTCTAAAATGCTTCAACATTTCTTATAGACTGTCATTTAAAGAAGATTTTTAATCATGTATTTTAACAAGAAACAAAGAGTGAGCTTATCAGTCAAGCAATTTTTGGAAAATTGCTTTCTTGTTTCTAAGCAAAGCAGAGATTACAGATATTTGCCTCCAGACAGACCTTTTTCTTCTGAATTTTCAAGAAAATATCTCTGCTTTATGCTTGTCATTTGCCAATCACCACCCTCTATTTTCAAGGGGGTACTGGTTAGAAATGGAAGGGTATTAGTCTCACATATATTGAAACAGTAATTAAGTTTAAAATGTGGCATTTTCTCTCAACATGTTATATGCTATTTTGTCTGCTGTTTTCCAGTTTGTATTTTCAAAAACTTTGTTTTCCCAAGAGACACATAAGCCTCTTCCCTAAAATGTTTCCATAGTTTTTGTTTAATTCCTCTCAAATTTTCCCAGGACATTCCTTTGCTCCCTGAAAGCAGAGAAGTTAATTTTAGAAAAGTTGGTTAGCTTTCAATCTGTGAGCATTGTCCTGGTCACTCAGCATAGGATGTCTGCCAGTTCGCCTAGATGGTGCCCCATCTGAGGTCTGTGCTACTTTAATTTCTCTGCTTGCCTACTTATAAATTGAGCATAAAGTATATGTTACATGTAGTTTAATTAAGCAATTCACACCCTCACATAAAACTTCATATTTAAGAATAAACTATGGCATTTATATATTAGTTATAAATATGCTTCATATGGAAAACACCATAAATTCTTTGAGAATTTTTTCCTGACAATATTTTCACCTTTCTCTCTGATTTAGAAACATCACCAACACAGACAATGTAAGAACAAATCAAAGATTATAGATTATAATTCAACAATACTGACCATGGGGAAGAAACTCTGGATTAGGCAACAGACATATTTTCTTCTGAAAATTTCAAGTCCCTAAATTTGCTTCTCTTTTCAAAGCTAGATATTAGGTTTTAACGACTTACTTTTAATGATTAATAATCCACAGCCTTTGGACAAATATGGTTAGGAACATCTATTAGGTCACAGAAGGCTGGGGTATGTGCACAGCAATTTTAGCACAACTGCATCACACCCACATAACCAATTTGTTCCATTTGATATATCCTCTCCCCAAGAATTCCACATTTACCTAAGGAATCAAAGTAAGTTGTTGATTTCTGCCCTGTGGCGTTAGGGAAAAATTAACAGGACTCTGCAAAAGCTCAAAATCAAGCATATCATATATTAATCTCCTTATAAAATGCAAATGCTCCTATCAAATTATATAGACCAGGGCCTCCCCGGTGGCGCAGCGGTTGAGCGCTGGGTTGCGAAGCTGCCTGCGGCCTCTGTGGCGCCGGTTCGATCCCCGGCTGCTCCCGGCCACCGGAGGAGGATCCCACATGGCGCGCAGACCTCTCCTGCCGCCCGCTGCTCCCCTCAGCAGTGTCCTTCGGTCCTTCTGCCTGCTCTGCTCCCCGCTCTGGCTCTGGTGAATTCTCTCACCCTCCCGCGCTTCTGACTGTACCCAGTGCATGTATAAACAAAACAAACAAACAAATAAAATAAATAAATAAAGCATGCCTCTATTAAAAAAAAAAAAAAAAAAAAGAAATTATATAGACCATATTTTCATTCCTTTCAATAGTTTATGCCAGAAATTGCAAGTAAGATGAACCAAAATCATATAAGGAAAAAAATTTTAGAGTTCATGAGGAACTCTTTGTCAACTGACAAGATGATAAAATAATCTAGAAAAGAAATTTCTATGTACATCAAAATTTTGTGCCAGAGAAGAAATTGGCATAAGCTTCTATTTATTAACTAAACAGCTCCTCTTTTCCAACACTGAGAAAAGAAAGATGAAAAGAAAGGGGCAGGGAAGGAAGGGCAATGGAGAAAGGAAAGGGACAGGACAGACAGAAGAGAAAGGAGAAGAGAAAGAAGAGAGGAGAGAAAGGGAACAAAAAGCCACAGCGCTGGGCTGTGCTTCCTGTTCATCTCCATTCTGTATTCACAATCTCCAATTAATATTTGAGAACGTGTTTTTCCATCACTAGTAGAAAACCCTCGTGCAAAAATGGTCTCTAAAACATAACATCAATTTACAGTTGTTCCAGTACTGAGAGCCCCTGATTCTTGTCACTATCATTATTTTTTTAAAGATTTATTTATTTACTTATATAAGCACTGGGTACAGTCAGAAGTGCGGGAGGGTGAGAGGATTCACCTGAGACAGAGTGGGGAACAGAACAGGCAGACTGATGAAATACACTGCTGAGGGGAGCAGCGGGCGCGGCAGGAGAGATCTGCAATCTGCGCGCCATGTGGGACCCTCGCTGGTGGCCGGGGATCAAACCGGTGCTGCAGAGGCTGTGGGTAGCTTCTCAGCCCAGCGCTCAACCACTGAGCCAGCAGGGGAGGCCCTCTTGTCATTATTATTTATTCTGTTTAGTTAAAAGCAAAAAGTCTTTGTCAATTAGGTAAGAAAAGCTGGAAAAAAATATTTTAAAATTTGCATTTCAATTTTTATTTATGGTATGGTAAGAGTACATTTGATTTTGTAAGACGTCAACATTATTGTGGTGATGGCAGTAAGTGTGGTAGAGAAATGTAAAGTGTAAAGGTCAGTAGGGAGTGCCAGGAGGGGAAAGTTTATTAGTTTAAATAGGATCATGTAGGAAGACATCTTTAAGAAGATAGTGTTTCAGAAAAGACTAAAGGGAGAGCAAAGAGGGACCCATTTCAGTGTTTAGCAGAGCAGTAGGGAGTGTTCCTGGCATAGGAAAGAATCTTTACAAAGGGAGATCCTGGGTGGTGCATGCCTGGAATCAAGGGAAGGCTTATGTGGTCATAACAGAGAGAGATACAGGGGGGGTCAAACAAAGTAAAGGGAGCAGGACAGGCCCAGTTTCCTCAAGCTCCAGGAAATCTCAGAGTCTTCAGATGCTAATGAGTCTTGTGATTTTTCCAAAGAGAGATTTAAAATTATGCAAGTCCTCAAGTGTATTTGATGATCCAACACCTTTATTTCAGAGTATCTCAAAGCACTAGAGCGCTGTGCGTAGTTTTCATCTTAAGGTCCCAGGCTAGAGTGAGACAGAATGGCCTGAGACAGGCTAAAACTAGCAGGCATTTAGATGGAGGCTGCTCCCAATCATAACCTCCTGGCTATGTGACTTGACATGCAGCAGAAATATTGGCTTTTATCATTAGAAACATTTCACATGTAGCACATTACATCATCACATAAATGCTCCAAATGAAATAAAATTCTACCAAAAAAAAAAAATCAGACAGTGTCTTAAAGTACACAGAAGTTATAAATCACTAAGTCTGCCAAGCTTTCCATTAATAAAAAAAACAGGGTAGGTTCTCCAGATGTTCCTAATCCACAGGATTTGGAGTGCCGATATTTTAACCTGTCTCAGCAAAGGACATCTCATTTTTAAGTAAGAAGAAGAAACGGTATTGCTGTGAAGATCTTAACAGAAGATTAACATTTAAGTGACTTACATAAAAATGCATTGGCTATTGATGTGTTACAGGAAGTAGCATCTCAATCAAAGGTCCCTAATGCAAGAGAGGTGTGCTTCTCTGTTGAATTTAAGACTATGCAAAGCTGAGACAAGTATTCTCAATCACTCTGTAGTACCTCATCTCTAAACCTCCACTTTCCCTAACTTCTTCATTATACCTTTTAGCAACCTTGCCATTCAATTATAACTTCTAAGAGTAAGAAATAATTTTAAGGGTGAGCATGTATAGCATCTCCACCCAAGGAGAATACACTGTGCCTATTTTATTTAATTAAGAAAATCTCTTGACTGTCCATGAAACCACTTGATCAGTTATATTTTCCATACTTTGTCATACTATATATGAAATAATGTACATAGAAACATCTTGAAATGCCTTAAGCATTTTCTCAGGAAACACATTCTCTAAATAGCCTGTCACCTACATTTTTAAAATATGCTGTATAGTATGAACTACCTTCCCATAAACTAAAAAGAGGCAAATTTTCCTTTGTGACCATGAAAAGTCCATATTCCCTCTCTTCATGACAGATCATACACTCCCTACATTCCTTTTTTGTACATCCAAAGGATGACTTTTCCTTCCAGCTTCTTTGCATGTAGCAACAGACAGGGAAGACTTAGCAGATATATGTAAATGCCAGAGGTGGCATGTACAGAAGAGCAGGGGCAGGTGCCTAAAAGGCTCCTGCTCCTGAAATCTGCCATGTGCCTCCTTTCCAGTTTGGGTGTAATATCTAGCATGGATTGTTCTTGCCAGCCCAGGTCATGCTGTCTGCTAGGATGGAGCCCACTCAGCTACTCCACATGTGAGCATGGACTGTGTCCTTTAAGTGGGTAGAATGGGGATTTCAGTTTAAACAAATAATACATCTTTGTTCCTTATCTGAGAATCCATCTCTGCTAGATACTCAGAGTACCAGTCTTGACCATAAGGCAAATGCACTAGAGTGGGTAAATGTGGTAGCATTTCTATGTAAAAAACATTATTAACTATACTAAACAGTTGTTCAGATATTAACATCATAGAAGTTCAGTAGAGCTATTATTTTGGGATGATTGGAACCATCAGGGAAAACTTCAGAGATAAAGAAACTCTTATTGCAGCCTTGGGAGATAACATGAACTCCAGTAGGGCAGCTGAGAGACACAGAGCTGGGTGCAAGCAAGGGCTTTTAGTGGGAAAATATATTCCTTCAAATGAAGCTTTGTTAAGAGTATCAGGCATCATCCGGAGTGGAGAGACTGTAACAAACATGACAAGTGGCAATGCCCTTGGATTTTATGATCCAGGTTAAATTAACAAAAAAGAAATGAATAAACACTAACTATCACAGAAAATTGTAATAGATGTTATGAAGAAAATAAAACAGAATGCTGGCATAGGAGAGGGATGGCAACTTCAATCAAGATGGGTAGGGAAGGCCTTTCCGAGGAGGTGGCATCTGAGCTGTGACAGTGCCTACGGCAGAAAACGCACAGGGCAGGATTTCTTCAACTCCAGGTTATAGAACTGTGGTGTTCTGGGATGTATCCAGAAGCATTTGAGGGTAGAAAGAATGCTTTTCCATAGAGATTCATTTTGTAGAGTCATAATACACACCAGCGTATTAAAGATGGTTTGAATTCCTGCAGTGAGGAGAACCTATGTGCCTGTATATGACAGTTATGATTTTGGTGGTGATGAAGATCTGTATGTGGGAACTGGTGGGAGTATGCATTAACATGTCTACTGTATGTTCTCAAAATGCTGCCTGACTAAGAAATTTGAAGACCCCAATAGAATAAAACCTGAAAGGGACTCCCAATAGTTGTGACAATTGGCAGCCTCTTTGCAATTAGATGCCTATGTATCATACTATTTGAAAATGAAATTTACAAAATAAAAATGTGTGCTTTGACCCTATTACCCTGACAGGGATAATGCTGAGTAGGTTTTAATGAAAAAGGATGTTTGACTGGGGACATCATTCATCACTATTTTTCTTGTCTTAGCAAGAATGCTTGAATCAGCAAGCAGCACAGGGTATGGAGAGAAAGGGAAACATAAAAATTTAGGGAAGACAACTTAGGCAAGCAAATGGGTATCTTATCTGGAACATGGCAAAGACACTAACTAGTGAATTAAAAGCAATCATTTGGTATTGGGGTGGTGAATTAGAAATAAAACGAAATTAAAAAAAACATCTTATGGGCCTCCCTGGTGGCGCAAAGGTTAAGATGCAACCTATGAAGCTATCCACAGCCACTGAAACACAAGTTCAATTCCCGACCAGGGAGCAGCCCACATGGTGCAGCAGACCTCTCTTGACTTGCCCACTGCTCTCTTTTGCAATGTACTTTGGTCAATCTGCCTGTTGCGCTCCCCACTCTGCCACTGGTGAATCCTCTCACCCTCCACACTTCTGGCCTATACCCCAGTTTTTGTGTACATAAATAAATAAATCTTTTAAAAAATCTTTCAAGTCAAGAAAGACAGAAGAATGAAATCTCAATAAGAATTAAAACAAAGTCAAAGTCATGATATAAATGACCTGGAGCTGAAACTTTAGGGGTGTATCACTCATTTTCCAGGCAAACTATTTGAGTCTTTTTTTTTTTCTTTTTAAAGATTTATTTATTTATTTATGTGTAGAGGAACTGGGGTGTAGGCAGTAAGTGTGGGGGATAAGAGAACTCACCAGGAACAGAGTGGAGAACAGAACAGGCAGATCCACTGAAATCTACTGCTGAGGGGAGCAGCAGGCGAGACAGGAGAGGTCTGCTGTGCCATGTGGGTAGCTCCCTGGCAGGAGCTGGGGCAATGATAGTGCTGAGACTTAACCCGTAGGCCACCAGGGAGGCCCTACTTGAATCTTCTTAATAGGAATGATTTGAAGTGAGTTTTAGTAACTTTCATTGAGAAAGAATGTATGGGATTAATAGGAGAAGAGATAAAACAGAGGTAGGGAGAGTCACCTCAAGGTCAGTTTCAAAAGTACAGGTGAAAGATAAGCAGTGCCTAAGGGAGAATGGAACAGTGGGAAAAGGAAAAAGGCAAGAGAGGCTAAAGTTGTTTCACAGGTAGAACAGAGGAACTGGCTAGACCAAAGAGTGTTACTAGCACAGATATGGAAAGAAGATGGCATCTTTATCAGAATTGGGAAGATATGTTAGGCAATTAATTTAAATTTAAGGTGGTGGTAGCAGGTACCTGGGAGCAGTTTATCCATTCAAGCTGGAATGTTCTAAATTTGACTTTCTGGTGGATTATTTGTAAAGAGATGTTCTGCAGCCTGATCTGATGTTGAAGGGAGATTTCAGATCTAGAGATAAAGATCATAGAGAGGATTAGTTTAATATAGAAGCTAAGGTAACTGACCAGACTTTTCCTGCTATTCAATTTTTATTAGGTGTGATTCTGAATGTTACTTCTCCTTTCTGTGACTCAGTTTCCACCTATATAAATAGGGGATAAAAATACCAACCTCATATTACTATTGAAGGGGTTTAACAAGTTCGTACATAAAGTGGTTAAAACATAACTGGCACTAAGTATTTTCTGGGACCACAAGTATGTTATTTTGTTACTACTGTTATCAAATGACATTGATGATGGACTTTCTAAAGATTTATTTATTTATTTTATACAAGCACTGGGGACAGTCAGAAGCGCGGGAGGGTGAGAGAATTCACCAGAGCCAGAGCGGGGAGCAGAACAGGCAGACTATCAAAATACACTGTTGAGGGGAGCAGCGGGTGCAGCAGGAGAGGTCTGCAGCACCATGTGGGACCCTCGCCGGCAGCCGGGGATCAAATTGACGCTGCAGAGGCTGCGGGCAGCTTTTTAGCCCAGCACTCCAACGCTGTGCCACCAGCGAGGCCCAATGATGGACTTTCTAAAGCAATGGACTAGAGTAATGATTTCCAAAGAACTCTTTATTCTCAATATTTAATTGTACAAAACTTCTTACTCTTTATGAGAATGAGTAAATTATGCATATTGTTATTGAGTTTTCATTTTGGTTTTCAAATACAGGCTCAGAAAACTAGCATATTAAAGAAAAAAACACACTATATTGTTTTCTTGTGTACAAAGCAGTCTTATTTCCTTCCTTATCATTGATTAAAAGTAACATTAAAGTAACATACAGACTAGACTTACTAAAAAATACTGAAAATTTTAGTACAATTCAATAGTCTGTTAAATTGGAATAGACTTAGTGGTTAAAAGAGATGTATGCAGATAGTATCCCTTTATTCCTGAAAATTCTATTTTATTTATATTGCTGATGGTCTTCATCACATTTAGCTCAGATACACTGCATTTAGGGTTAGGGAAATTTTTTAAAGATTTATTTATTTATACAAGAGCTGGGGTACAAGCCAGATGTGGGGGAGGGTGAGAGGATTCACCAGAGACAGAGCAGGGAACAGGTCAGAAGAACCAAAAGCACTGCTGAGGGGAGCAGCAGGTGAGGCAGGAAAGGTCTGCCAAGTCATGTGGGTATCTCCCTTACCGGTGGGGAACCAAACCGGCGCTGCAGAGGCTGTGGACAGCTTCACAGAGCTGCACTTAACCCGCTGCACCACTGGGGAGGCCCATTAGGGAAAATTTTGAGAAAAAAAAAAAAGTTTCCAAAATATATGACTATGAGGCTATTGACTAGTTTTAATAGAAAACCCTATTTATTTTACATCAGAATGTTTGCCAGTTGTTGCTGCAGTAAAATGGCAATGATTATTAATGCAGCACTTTAGGGAAGCTGGTGTGAAGAGCTACTTTAAAAATGCATGCCTGTTAATCCAGCCTGCCTGTCAAAGTGGCCCTTCACAAAGGAGAGGATTATCTCCTCAGCACATCTTGTGCTGTTACTCAGTGAGGATGTTGCACTGGTTCAACTGATGATGGTTTTCTGGAAGCAGTTAATACCCTGAAGTGGCATGCTCAGATGAGAACTGTGCAGTTTCTCTTCACGAAAGGAAAACATTCCATTCAGATGTCTTAAATGCAAAAACTCAAAAATAAAATTGCAAGGCATGCTTTGGGTTGCTTTTTAATGGCTGAAAGATATTTTTAATTTGGACCTTAAATAAGGATTCAGTTCTTTTACTAAATATTGTAATTGTGACCAAAAACATCTGTTTACAAATCTGATGAAACAACTATCTTATGTAAAATATACAGATTAGACTTAAGCCTTTAAAAGTTTAAGTCAGATACATATTTTTAGTTATTATCACTTCAATTTTGTTATCAAATGCAGCCATTGCAACCAGGTAACAGTAAAAGGATTTAAGCAGGGGCTGTTTTCAATTGCTGATCACAAAATATTTTTGTTTTCAATTATTGCTTCTTTCCTAGCAGTTGTTACTGTGAACCAAAGGACAGTTTACTTTAAATTCATAAAGAGCAAAATGACAGCTTGGTGTTTAATGCTTTAAACACCTGGAACCAAACAAAGTTGCCAAAACAGAAAATTTACAACTACATTTTATAAGAAATAATACACTGTTTGTATACATACTTCCTTGACATGAAGTCCATATGACTTGGCACTAGCTGAAGGATTACTTTCCAAAATGTAATAGGCCAGAGGTTGGGTATGGACACCATATGCTCTCAACTTCCTAGTATCTGCTGTTATAATTAGAGAGTTCTGACTTTGTTCAGGTTTATTATACACATGACCCTAAACTGGCGAGGAGAAATTGAGATTGGGAGATAAACTTGACAAATGAAACAATATTAGGGCAAGATTAGAGTTTATTTCTAGAAACCCACTTGTACCTTAAGGAATAAATGAAACCCAATTGTCCTTCTCAGCAAAGAAGGTAAATGAATTTTTCTAAAACCTTCGAGGCAGTCATACTGATTTAAAATATCAAATTAAGTTTAAATAGTTTGAGAAATAAAAGAACAAACAAAAGTAAACCAAACATACCCAGAAATATGACTGCAGAGTCAGGGATACCAGAGGGGACAGAGGTGGTAGACAAAGGTAGAGAGGGCCCAATGGTCTATGGTGGAGGATTTTGGGGGCTTCATTGGTGGGTGTGGAGGTAACATATATCAGAGGTAACACATATCCCCTAAATCATGTACAGAGTTGTAAACCAATGTTACAGAAAATAATATATAAATGTATCCAAACAAATATTAAAGTCTGAAAAAATACATGGTCAGAGTGCTGGCAGGTGGAGGGAGAAACATTTTCTCCCCCTTTTGTGTCTATATATCCAGCATCTATAATAGTGTCTGGCACATAGTAGATTCTCAATAAATAATTATCAAATCAATCAATTACTAATTATAGCCGTATTTTTTAAAGGACATGGGCAAGTGATACAGATATATAATCCACACAATTTTCAATCAAATTATGGAATTCTAGCCGCATATGGGGTTGGGAAGTGATGGTGGTGTCATCATTGGCAATTATTGCATGTTGCCATTTGGCTTTCATTCATTCCTGCATTGGAGTTTTCAACCTGATAGTTTGTTCATAGGTTTGTCTGCCCCACTAGACCGTGATGCCTGCTTTTCTCCATGGATAGCAAACACACTGTTAGATGCATTAATTACTGAGATGCCAATTATGGAGTGATAATGTTCTCAGGATTTTTCAGGTCTTCGGGCCCATTTTGTTTTATTACACTGTCCCTTAAATGCAGGTGGGGAAGAACATATTTATTCCTCTAAAGTTCCGCCGATGACCACGTGATGGCGCTAGCGCTGCACCATAAACAAAGAATAGCTGTTCAGTGTAGGTTCCCTAAGCCAATCCAGGGGCTCCCTCTCTCTAATTTTTCCACCCACATTTTTTGCTGTGCTTTCCCTCAGGTCCTCCTCTCGGTCCAGTCAAGCTTGATACATATATTACTTGGAAAGAAACTGTCAGAATGGAACTGGGTATTGTTCACCTGAAGCTGGAATTTTCTTTATTCTCAGACAGGTCAAATCTATTTATTCTTCCCACCTGGGGGAAAAAAAAAATCTAAAAATACTTTGAACTCTGTTTAAATTTGTGCATTATTAGTTTGAGGTATAGGTCTTTTTATATTGTTTTTGCCTGGCCCCTCTAAGCGACCTAAACAAAGTAACAACTAAGTAAACTATGTCCTAAAATGCTGTGAGAATCCGCCTAAGAAAATTTAAACAACACAGCCAAAAACGTAGAGTATTACAGAGTTTAAAGACACATGGATCTTTACATTTAAAGTAAATTGAAAAACTCAGGGTACAAAAAAATAAATGATTTGAAAACAACCTACTTACTAAGAATTAAAAGTGAGTTCAGATAGCAGATAATCTGGTTTTCAAAAACAGAAATGGGAGGTTTTCAATATAAGTCAGGGTTTTCTTTCTTAATGGAGGCAAATATGGTGAAATTCCACAAGATTTATTTTTTGTTCGTAGACGACTTTATTGAGATATAATTTACACTTAAGAAGCTAATGCTTATTCCCACCCACCACCCACACCCCCCCCCCCACACACACATTTCTCTAGTTGTTCTGGCTCCATTGTTGAGAAGACTCTTAACACCATTAAGCAGTTTTGCCTGTAAATTTTTTTTTTTTTTTTTTTTTTTTTTTTTTTTATAGAGGCATGCTTTATTTATTTGTTTGCTGGTTTGTTTGCTTGTTTTTGTTTATACATGCACTGGGTACAGTCAGAAGTGCGGGAGGGCGAGAGAATTCACCAGAGCCAGAGCGGGGAGCAGAGCAGGCAGAAGGACCGAAGTACACTGCTGAGGGGAGCAGCGGGCGGCAGGAGAGGTCTGCGCGCCATGTGGGACCCTCCTCCGGTGGCCGGGGAGCAGCCGGGGATCGAACCGGCGCCGCAGAGGCCGCGCGCAGCTTCGCAACCCAGCGCTCAACCGCTGCGCCACCGGGGAGGCCCAGTTTTGCCTGTAAATTAACTTTATATGTTGTGCTGAAAGTCAACTGATGGTACTGATCTGTTCCAGTTATCGCTCTGCCTATTCTACACTTTGGTTTAATTACCGTAGTTTTATAGTAAGTCTTGAGATCAGGTAGTGTGAGTCTTCCAACTTCATTCGTTTGGGGGATAATTTTGGCTATTCTAGCTACATTTCTTTTCCATATAAATTTCAGAATTTTTTTTCAATTTCTACTAAAAAAATCGATTTGGATTTTATTGGGATTGAATTAAATATATAATAAGTAGGCTATTAGTAATTAGTTTGTAAAAAGCCATTTCTTGCTAAGAAAACTTCACTTTCTAACCTTTTCAATTTTCCCCAAATTGCCTCATCTCTGAAAAATATTTTTAACAGCCTTTAGCAAGATCAGAATTTATTTTGAAAATCTTGGAAATCATCCAATCCATTTTAAGCTACTCTTCCTTGAAATAATAATATAAAAAGCTCTGTAGTAATTTAAATCTGGGAAAAATTCTTTCCGCAATTAGAAAAAAATACATACACTTTATATGTAAAACCATAACTTCAAAATGGTTTGGGTACTTTAAATTAAAAAAAAAATTCCCATTTCATTTAACTATTAGTTTCTAAATACTTCTCCATATACTAGATTTGATAGGAAAATATATTGTCTATTTACCTTAATTCAGTATATTAAAACAAATTTATTTTTTCTTCACAACTTATCCCACAATACACATTAATTATATAGTCATAATATACATACAGAAGGTTTGAAAAGCAACACAGAAAAATACACCTGCAATATTTTACTTTTCAAATGTTTTCAGTCTTATGTTATTTTTAGTCTCACTTGTGTTTCTTTCCACATGAAATATTTCAATGATCAGAAGTAAAAACTTGAGAATAGGGCCTCCCTGCTGGTGCAAGGGGTTGGGGCGCAACCTATGAGGCTATCTACAGCCACTGTAGCACAAGTTCGAGTCCCGCCCAGGAAGCTACCCACATGGCGCGGCAGACCTCTTCTGTCTCACCTGCTGCTCCCCTCAGCAGTGTTTTTCGGTCAATTTGTCTGTTCTGCTCCCCGCTCTGTCTGGTGGATCCTCTCACCTCCCACACTTATGGCCTGTGCCCATTTCTTGTATGCATAAATAAATAAATCTTAAAAAAAAAAAAACTTGAAAACAAAGTCATACTTATTCTCATTGCCCTACATTTCTTTCCAGTATGTGTTATGTGGCAGTGACACATGCTGAAGAAAGCAGTCCATGCTGTACCTTCCCAGATACTACCATTCACTTTAGTCCACCCACCTTTTCCCAGTTTTCACTGAAAGGAATACCTAGATTATAGGATAGTGTCTTTTATCTTTTCCAAATCCAATGTGAAGTGAACTGTGACTTCAAGGTACTATTGTCTGCAGCATCATAACGGAAAGATGGTTTCAAGAAATCTGTGGTTACTCTACATGTTAAAGGCACCCTCTGCTGGGATTGCTAGGGAGTGCAAAATTATAGTCAGTATCTCCCTCACTCACCAAAACATTTGTGATTCTCATATTCTTTCTCTCATATGTTTTCCCCTAAGTATAATATTTTCTACTATTAGCATGCATAGGAACATCTGTCAAAATTTAGCATAGTAGCTAGTGCTTCTTCCCCCAATCAGTGAAATACATAACAGAATTTGCTATAATTAAATTAATACATTAAAGCTTGCAGGAATAGATCTATTTGGGGAATGACTATTAAAGATTATTAATAAATTGATTAAATTAATTCATATAATGAATGCTTAACAGTTAATATCAATTTTATTATGAAATGTTTAATGACAAGTAGAATCTTTTATATATCACTATAATATTAATGAAAAAGTAAAAACAAAACATACATACCATTTCAAGCTCAGATTAAGGCACCACTGTATCCTACTTACAGGATTTAGTAGCCATGGGTTCAAGTCCTAGCTTCGTCTTTATGTCCTGTGTGAAACCAGAAAAGTTAATCACTCTGGCCCGCAGTTAGTTCATAAAAAATATTGAAAATGACAGAATTCATAAGGTTAGGAAAACTAAATAAATGTGAAACATTTAGGCCAGTCCTTGGCATACACTACACTCACTAAAAACGTTAATGAGTTTACAGAAAAGTAACTCAGATAAAAATACAAAGTTTATTTATTATACATTTTTAATTCTCCATTAAGGGAGCTTTGCATGTCCTAATTTTCTAGAGTGAGGATTTTTTTTAATAATCAGGAAAATAAAATGTAAAACAGATTATTAATATTAGTCCTTATGGGCCAATGGAACAACTATAAATATCAAGAAGGCAAAACCTCTATCAGGTCCTAATATTAGGGCAGTTTAGAAGAGGAGCAGAGGGCTCCATTCAAAAGATCAAGATGGAGAAGTGCAGCTGTTAGAATCTTCCACGGTTTTGAAAATGGACAAGGTAATTAATACAAAAAGTGATGGGTCCCTACTTTCTGTGGCAAGGGCTGATGGCTTGATTTTTGCAAGTATTGAGAACTGCACAAACCTAATACTTCCTGACATGTGCATTCCAATCAAGGAGGCAGGAATAAGTCTATTTCTTGTGTTGGTAATTACTATTTTTCTTTAGGATCCCATTTAATAAAAACACAAATAATTCACTTATATAATGATAAAATGAATTTTGGAGTAAAAAAATGTTAGAATGGTATGAAAAGACATTTCTAATGCTGAACTCCATACTATGGCAGCAGGAAATGGGAAAAGTACCAGTTTTAGCACAATGTAACTGTTCATATTTATTGTGGTTGTATAACTTCTACGAACATGAAGGTCTGATAAGCTAATTCATAAAGAACGAAAATAATGCTTATATACTTATATACTAAAATCTTATATACTTAAGATTATATGCTTAAGATTATATTAAATATATGCTCATATATATCATATACATACAAACTACCTCCCTGAGATATAAATCTCTTGGGATTAAGACTATGTCTTTGTATTTCTGCTTCTTAGTGCCAAACTTATTTATGTATATTCAGCAGATATGAATTTTCACCCTCACATTTTGGTAACAGAAACGCACATTTTGTTTTCTTTAATGAACTTAAACTTGACTCCAAGTACCCACCCCAACAGGCTGTCAGGCAATTCAACCTCTGTAAGTTGGAATATCCTTTTTTCTGCTCCAAGGTTAAGCATTACTCAAAGCTTAGGAATTTTGTTCCTGGGTCTGGGGAAAATGCATGTCAGTTATCTAGCTGCTGAGGTGGTCACCACCACTTCTGTATCATTCCTGGGAAACGTGGATTTCTGCCCAGCTTGGGGACCTCCATGGCAAGCAGTCACTCCCCTCTGATATTTTGCTTTCACAATCCCTCCGGTTAGAGGGACATGGTTTTGGGCTTCCCATTTCCTTTACTTGATTTTACCCCTATTTTGCACAAACTAAAATGTTATGTTTTAGTGTAGGTTAAATTAAAAGAACATAGGCAATTCTTTCTACTCTAAATAAAGTCTGACTATTCATTGCCAGGGTGAGACCTCAAAACTTCTTTATTGGATTACAGAGACTCAATATGAATTATTTCCTTTTATATTACTATAAAAAGTTTTTAAATCTCTTTTAGTTCCCTTGTCATAGCACCCACATCTCATTTCAGACAGAGATTAATCTGGGGACAGCAACACAGAAAAGCAAAGTGGAACAGGACATTTGTCTTTCTCAGTACTGTTCAAGATCATGATTTCGCTTCTACCACCTCTGGCAGGAACAGTTAAAAATATTTTTTTATATTTAAATATTTTATTTTATATAATGTTTACATCTTTTTTCATCTTTGCACAATGTATGCATTTTCATTTTGGTTATATTCCCCATACAATTGCACCCCCCCCTTATTTTGACTCGTCCTTCCTTTCCCCGCCCCTCCCCACCTCCAGTGTGTCTCTGGTTTATAGTTGTTTGTTGATTTTGATTTTTACTTTGTGTTGATTAGTCTTTTTCCTGGTCTCTTATTTAGGTTTTCTAAATTCCTGCTATGAGTGAGACCATCCGGTATTTTTCTTTTTCTTTCTGACTTATTTTGCTGTTAAAAATATTTTCAGGGATAAGTGCAAAATGAAGATGTGGGGTCCATTTTGGAAAAATTAAGAGTTTCAAGAAGCAACCATAGAACATTAAATCAAGCATGGGGTGCTTCTAAGTGTAGGGGCCCATGTGGCTGCCCAGGGGGCACACCACAAAGCTGGTCTTCTCCACTGCCTTAGTGAGGGTCTTCATCACCTTGCTTCTAACTGATGTTCCATTTTTGAAGCATGCTTCCATCTTTGCTCCATTTAGAATCACCCATACACACCCTGCACATAAGATATTCCTAAAGCAGATATCTGGTTCTACCATATCCCTATTTGAACTCTTTGATAAGTCCCCTCTGGGGTAATGTGCAAGTTATAAACATGAGCCTCAAGGTGCTCCTGTATCTGGCCTCTATTAATCGATCATCTCCATGTCTTTCCATTTCCAGCTTTATATGTCATGCTCTACCTGAGTGTCCAAGGCAAGGCTATTTAGGTGTCATGGATTCAGTCTGCAAACAACCAGAAGAAGAAGGTAAGACAACTCTGGACCATGCTACCCACAAAAGCTTCATCTCGTTTTGATTGCAGTCTGTCCTTTTAGATGATAAAGGGCTATCAAATATGTTAAATTCCTGAGCAGAGGAAAGCTCAAAACCAGAAAATCAATGTTGTTGTAAATACACTTAGGATCTGTAAGAAAAAAATATCCCCCTTTTACAAGAAGGCTATAATTTAAAGATGAGGAAGATAGCTAACAAAGCAATTACAGTGTAATATACCATGGCTATCATTTACTGAACCCCTACCATGAGTCAAGTACAACACTAGGTATTCAAATACGCTATTTATTGCTGCTTGCTATTGCTACAACTTGGGCATTCTAATTCCTATTTGACAAGTGGGAAAACAGGTTCTGAGACTATAAATAACCTTAGTAAGTAGGTTATAAGCTAGAATTAAATCCAAGTTTGCCAGATTCCAAAACCTCAGTTCTTTCCACTATGCTATGATACTGTGTCTCCCAGAAACCAATAATGTTGTTCTAAAGCAGGTATGTACAGAGAGAAGGGGCCAGAAATACTATTCCAAATTATCTAATCAGCTGGACTGAAGAGGAAATGAAGTAATTGACTTTAGGGAAAAAGAGTAAAAAGTGAAGGAATGGCATGTTAAAGGAAGAAACAGAACACACTGCCAGGTCCTAAAGAATGTAAAATTATAGGAGCAACAAGTGGTCTGGAAAAAAAAAAAAAGACGTAAATGAGCTGTGCCCAGCCGAAAATTAGCCAAAGGGCCATATCATAAGGGCTTTGCATCTAAACAGCCTGGGCTTTTTTCAGTAGGTAATGAGGGAACACCTACTGGGAAATGACTTTTCGAGTCATTCTGACATCGATTTGGAGAACAAATCAAAGGAGAAAGAAGCCACAAAGAGAGAGATCATTGAGTAGACCACTGCAGATGAAGCAAAAATGAAGACAGCCTGAACTCAGTGGGAAGGAAAATCAAAAGACAAAGTTAATTTTAGCAGCTGTAGAACAAGAAGAAAGATTTGATGACCAATTAAATCATGCTTCTGTGGTAAACATGAAAAAAAGACCTGGGTAGACCATAAAGATGTTTGATTTAAATATTTGAGTGAATGGTTTCTTAACCTAATCACTCACATAGATCTACAACCACAAGAGACTGGACCTTTGAAATTCCATCTTCTGGAATACTCATCCATTTAAGAAACCATGATCACTTTTTTATCTATTTCTTTTCTTCCAGGTTAAAGATACCTTTTCTTCTTTTCTGAGTCACACTGTTATGTGTTGTTACTATTTTAAATGGAAGGGCCTAGTTGAGTTCAATGAAAACTTACAAACATGATTTTCTTTCTTCATCGTTATTCCCTAGGAAACCAGGCCCTATTCCAGGATGACATGTTACACATGTAGAAAGTCCTTACACTGTTACAGCTCTCTACAGTCTCCACAGCATTTCCAAGAACATTTTCATTTGCTTTCCTTTGAGAGAGCTAATAGAGAATTAAATTCCTTATTTCAAACCAAGGAAAATGAAACTTTCCAAGAGTTTCGTCACTCTCAATCAAATAGAGATAGAATCCAGGTCTCAGGTTTTCTGAAACCATGTTCCTTGTTCTCTAGACTCCTTTACCAGAGAGAATTGAATTTGGGTGATCAGGAGCAAAGGGACCAGCATGTATGTGCACTCCAAGCAGGAGAATTTATTTTTTAAAAATAAGAAAACATCAACTTTCAGGATCAGGGAAAGCTAAGACTCACGCCAGTTTCTATTAAATAAGGATTCATCTGGTCACTTGAATTTCCTACTCACCCTCTTGAGACATTATGCATGATTGAATTCAGGCAGTTTGCACAATACAGTGGATCAGCTAATTGCTCCTCTGCTCACTATAAGCACAAATGGCTACACTGGTTGGAAAATCAACCCAGGGAATAGGCTATGAAATTGGTATTGAAGCTTTGGCAGCAGCCTGACTGATCAGGATACTGAATGAAAAGCTACAACACAAAGCACAGCTTGTTTTGTTTTGTTTGGCTTTTTTTTTTTTAACAGTAATTTCTAGTGGTGGAGACAGATGTTTCTTGAAGTAGCAAGAGATTTGCAAAGCAGAATGTTCCAGCACTTACTGTAATTGCTTTATTAATATTGTATGTGTTTATGGCTCCTATCTTTTGGCTTGTGGCACCTCTTACTTTAAATGACTTTGGGTTTCCTGACGACTGACTGTAAATCTTTACTTCAGAGATCCTTTGAGTCACATACCCAGTTTTGCTGCTGCATAGTGAATTATTTCACATGAGACTGTCTTTTCCTTTGCATTTATTACACCTAGAAGCCCTCAGGGGGCACTGGAGCACCATCAGAGACAGCAGTCCTATATACGAAAGGAACTGAGAAATAAATGAGCTATACTTCTATCTCTGCGACTTATTATATCATCAGCCAAGTCTCAGGTCTTAATGTCTGCTACAGTGTCATGAAGGACCTGAGAGAGTCTAATCTAACATCCTAAAGAGACTGAATCTGTCTGGGAAAATCACGTTTGCCAGGGGCATATCTTAGAATAACTTCTTTTTGGTGCTTGGTTTTGTTTCAAAAAGTATAGGACTTATTTTTAATTCCTTCCAAAGAGGGAAAAGGAACTAAGAGGGCAATGATACAGCAAATGAAAATTAAATTTGTAGTTGACCTCTGCTATGGATGCTTGTTGGTTTGCCCATAGGCTATGGCACCTCTCCCCTCCTTCCCAGCCCATCAGAGCAGCTCATAGTTGTTCCTGCACATGCCCTCCTAGGCTCATGACCCTCAGCATGCCTGCTACTAAGCTTCTCTGGGTGAAGAGGGGGAAGGGGTTTCTTTTGGTGAGTTTGAGTTTAAGTTTTGTGGTTGACATCATGATTGCTGTAATTTGCTTTAGAACTGACTCTAATGAGAGCCTGTGAGTTAAGTGCAGGCCCCGCTCAGTCAAAAGCCAGGAGGATGTGTGGAAAAGCAGCAGCCTACAAAGAGCTTGCTCACGGAGTGAATTCTGAGAACTGCTGGACTTCCTTGGCAGTGCAGGGCTGCGCTGTGCATTATGTATTCAGCCTTCTGCCCTGAGTTGTGACAGTCTAATTCCTCTGTGCAAACACTCACTACTGGAGACCTCCATACTTTGCTGGTGTCTTTCTTTAATTCATGTCTCTAGAAGAAAGTCCACTCAATATGTAATTTGAATCTAACGTGTCACATTTTTTCCATGCCAAGAAATAGCCCTCCATTATGCATAATTCAGCAGAGTAGACAAGACCAACTTCAGCTTTAGAGGAAATGTTGTTGAGAGGTGAGCTGTGGTAGCCAGCACCATCCTCTTCCCACTGACATTTGGATCAAGGCACTTTCCATCAATCAACACAGAATAAGTATTTGTAGACAAAAATTATTTGATGAAAAAAAGGAAAACACTTTTTGTGTGTTTGGAGCACACACGGAGAAAGGACATGTAGATTTTCGAACACGCCCTGCACAAAATACAAGCTTACATGCAGCTTAGAACTAATCACAGATAACCTTAGGGTACTTCAGAGGATGTGCCAAAGGAGTTTGTGTGTGCTGTGGCTTCTAAAGCAGTCAAAGAAAAGAAATAGGACTGCACACATTCTTCTAAAATGTTTCATATTGCTGCCTTTGGCTTGCAAATATTAAGAAACAAAAATGACTTTTTTTTTAATTTATCATGGTCTAAAAATATTAAAAGAGAAGGTGAATTTACCCATGACAAATCTACAGTCACATCAACAATCAACATTTGAAACCGAATCTAATTTTTCACCTTTAAAAAGACTTAAATTCCTGCTACGACTAAGACCATCCGGTATTTTTCTTTTTCTTTCTGGCTTATTTCACTGACCATGATCCCTATAATAAAGTAAAAAGCAAAATCAACAAGCAACTATAAACCAGAGACACAGTACAGTGGGGGGGGGTGTGGGGGAGGGAATAGGATCAAAACAGGGGGGTGGGAATTGTATGGGGACTATAACCAAGATGAAAATGCATACATTGTGCGAAAATGAAAAATGATGTAAAAATGTATAAAAAATAAATGATTTTAAAAAAGTCAGGAAAAAATAAAAAAGACTTAAAAATGTTGCTGTTAGTACAAATAAAAAACAAGTGGGGGTATCTATAGGAGTTATATTTAATGTATTTAGGCTAATAACATCTTGCAGGTAAACAAAGATTATTTACAAAGGCCAGGTTAACATATAATATTATTAAAATACTGCCATTCCTTCAAGCTGTTCAACTGCACAACCAATCTGACACATTAACATACTGCATAGTGAAAAGGCTGCACTTGCTACATTTTCCCCAGATTTTGTTTCATTTCAAATACTGTGTACAAAAAAAGTCATTTTCAAGATATTGCTTATCCACAACATCCCTGAAGTGCTTTGACAGCTATGAGACTTTTATTTTAGTAACTGAGTCATGTATACATGCATTTGTTTCCCCTGAATTTTTTTTTTGTATCACTTACCAACCTTTAATTCACCTTTCTTTAAAGTTACATTATGAATTTTTTCTGTTTTGTAATCAATTTTCCAAATGGATACTGCTGATCAGAAGTGATGCTATCTTGCCTATATTGTACATATGACAATTTACTGGATCAGAGTTTAATTTTTTCAATTAAAAATAAAGAAACAAGAAAGATAAACTGATGGATAGTTTCCCTTCCACATTTCTCTCTCTCTCTCTCTCTTTTTTAATTCACAGATGTGCAATTCTCAAGGAAATTATGTTCCTTGGGATGATCAGTATTCACTTTCAATAAGACCACAGGATATAACTGTTTGGTATAGAAACTAAATGTCATGATTCTGTGCCCTGTGACTTAGCAGGAAACTCTGGCTGCATGATTTTTTATATAATGTATTTTTTTTTCACCTTCACTCCCTTATTGTGCTTTTTCAATGAAAGTTAGACAGTAATAACTAGAACATTTACACACTGCAGTTAATGATTGTAATAATATAAGGTAAGAGGATAAATACTTATTATCACAAAAAAGTACAGTATAACCCTACAATGAATAAAAAAATTATTTCAGCAGTTAATGAAAACATGAACACATTTGACAGAATTACTTAGGGGAAGAAAATCGCTTGCATGCCTCCTGGGGGCAAATTAACTGGGTGTGTATGTGTTTAATCCTTTCAAGATTGTAAGTATAATTGTTATAAACTGCCACCCTCCTTGCCTCCTACCCAAGTCTGAGTAGGCACCCCCCAGTTCTATCTTACCTTTTGGTAGCTAATTTGAGTTTCTCTTCCCAAGATGCACCATAATGTCTGCAGGAAAGGAGGCTAATAATTCTTTCTTAGGAAATTCTAGATTCTGTTCCCTGGGGTTAATTGTTGATCGAATAATGGACAATCAGAGCAGTAGCCATTTGGATGAAGAAGGGGGGTAGTTATGGATAGAATAAGGAAAAAAAGGGATACTTCGTGAAAACATGCCATAGAGTATCTGAATTCATGGCTCATTGTTAATTAGCATTTTAATTTTATTCCTTTTGATACTGTACTACCAGATTAACTTGTCGTAATTTAATAAAATATGTGTATGTGTGTGTCTATATATTTATTTATTAGCATTAGATTTCTGAGTTTCTTATTCCTTCTTTGATTTTTTAATTATTATTTTTGTATTTTATATACGTTTTACATCGTTCTTATACAAAGTATGATTTCTCCTCTACTTCCCATGAGATTCCCACCACCAATTCACCCATGTCCCATCACCATAATCCCTTGTGCTCATCCACCCTTGTTCTAATCCTTCACCCTCCTCCTTCCCTGCAGAATGTCTCTCATTTATAGTTGCCTGTTGATTTTGATTTTTAATTTATAATTATTATTTTCCCCTGATCCTGTATTTGTTTCTTCTACATTGCTCCTACAAGTGAAATCATGCAATCTTTTTCTTATTCTTTCTGGCTTATTTCACTGGGCATAATGGGCATTCCAGGATCACTTTCTTGTTCCTAGTTAATGTAGCCATTAATGGAATACACCATACACACACACACACACACACACACATCTCCTCAAGGAGCAGGCAATCATCACATATAGGGAGCTAATCTATCAAATTTCATATGAGTAAAATAATCTTAGTTAAATACATTAGGAAATAAATTAAAAAGATTAGTAAATGGGCAGTCTAGGGCTAGGATCTGACACTTTCTGATTAGAAACTCCACAACAGTGAAAAAGTTATCTTGAGATAATTAATGCATGAAGGAAATTCATTTTACAGTTCTTGCAATTTGAGATGAATCACTTAACTACTCTTACTCTGGCCCTCAGCTAAATCACTGCATCTGTAAAAGACTATGATTAGGAAAGGTGGCTACAACTCCAGAATTATTTGATTTAGGTCAGATTTTAAATTTGTGATTATTATCAGAAAGGAAAAAAAAAAAAGACCCCAGAAGATGAGAACACAGATCTATTATCTCAGAGTTCGAAGTAATATAGACTTTATCAAAGTTGATTTCAGCATCTTGGGTGTAGAATAAGTAGGATTCTACTGCCAGAGGGTTTTAAAAAAGTTGCCCAGAATGAACAGGAGACACAGAATCTTCAAATAATCACAGGAAAGAAGAAAAGTAAAACAATGTGTGGAATTGTGCTGCTCTAGACAAATTCTCAGTCATCCCAATAGTGAATATGGGCAGAAGACAGCAGACTAGACACATCTTGCCAGATGGCAAGGTCCTAGATCCCTTCTATGTTTAGACATTGGCTGGGGCCTTGGTCCAAAGCTAAGGTGGTGATTTCTCCTTGCGGTTTTGATTTGCAATTCCCTGATTAGTGCTTTCGAGCACCTTTTCGTATACCTGTTGAATATTTCTATGCCCTCTTTGGAGAAGAAAGGCTATTATCAAAACAAAGAAACAACAAAGGACAACAGGTATGTTGACAGAGGTGTAGAGAAAAGGGAAGCATGGTATGCTTGGGATTTTACATTCCCCAAATTTTACATTCCCCAAATATTGGTATAGTTGTTGGGATTTTACATTCCCCAAATATTGGTATAGTTACTATGCAAAAAGGTTTCGATGTTTCTCAAAAAAAAAAATAGAACTATCATATAATCCTACAATTCTGTGCACAAGTATCTATCCAAAGGAATCAAAATCAGGAGCTCAAGTAGATATATGAAAATCTATGTTCACTGCAACATTATTCAAAATAGCCGTGTAAATAACATAAATATCCATCCATATATGATCGATAACACAAATGTGGTATATATCTGTAATTCAATGTTATTCAATATAAAAAAGAGAAGGAAATTCTGTCATTGTTGACAACATGGATGAACTTGGAGGACATAAGGTCAAGCAAAATTTTAGACACAGAAGGACAAACACTGCGGCAGGAACTTTCCTGCCATATGTATCTTTTCAAGATATCTGAGTGTTCAATGAATTACATATACTATCTTTATAAACTAGACAGCTGTCTAAAATCACATTAAAAAAACAAAACAAGAATATATCTAAGAGACAGAATGAGCATTATTAACTGAGGACTTATATAAAGGGCACAGGCTTACACGAATCACATCCAGAAGATTAAAGTGAAAGGCTTGTCAATAATAAACAGTGAAAAAGGGAGGTAAAGTAATGTTCTGCTCCAAACAAGAAGGAAAACAACAACAAACCTACTTAGAATTTACAGTTCTATAACTGATGACAGACTGAGTTAACTTCCTTTTTAGTATGACTATTTTTTGAGCATTTTTATTTTATTTTATATATTTTTTACTTCATTTTTCATTTTTGCACAATGTATGCTTTTCATCTTGGTTATAGTCCCCATACAATTCCCACCACCCCTTGTTTTGTTCCTACTCCCTCTCTCCACCCTGTAGTGTGTCTCTGGTTTATAGTTGCTTGTTGTTTTTTTATTTTTATTTTATTATAGTCTTTTTCCTTGTCCCTTATTTAGGTTTTCTAAATTCCTGCTAAGAGTGAGACCATCTGGTATTTTTCTTTTTCTTTCTGGTTTATTTTGCTGAGCATGATCCCTTCCAGCTCCATCCATGTTGCTGCAAATTGCATGAGTTTATCTTTTTTGATTGATGAGTAATATTCCATTGTGTATATGTACCACATCTTGATCCAGTCATCTATTTTGGGGCATTTGGCTTGTTTCCATAGCTTAGCTATTGCAAATAATGCTGCTATAAACATAGGGGTGCAGGTACCTTTTGGAATTAATGATTCTGTGTCCTTTGGGTAAATACCTAGGAGTGGAATTACTGGATCATATGGAAGTTCCATCTTTAGTAGGCTGAGGAATCTCCACATAGCTTTCCATAGTGGTTGGACCAGTCTGCACTCCCACCAGCAGTGCAGAAGAGTTCCTTTTTCTCCACATCTTTGCCAGCATTTTTTGTTGCTAGCTTTTTTAATATGTGCCATTCTCACTGGTGTAAGATAGTATCTAATTATAGTTTTGATTTGCATTTCCCTGATTACAAGTGATGTTGAACATTTTTTCATATGCCTGTTGGGCATTTGCATTTCCTCTTCAGAGAAGTTTCTTTTTAGCTCCCTCTGCCCATTTTTTGACTGCATTATTTACTTTGTTTTTGTTGCGTCTCATTAGCTCTTTGTAGAATTTTGTGATCAGTCCTTTATCATTAGTGTTGTGTGCAAAAATGTTCTCCCAATTGGTGACATATCACTTTGTTTTGGTTACTGTCTCTTTTGCTGTACAGAAGCTCTGCAATTTGATGTAGTCCCAGCTGTTTATCTTTGCCTTCACTATCACTGCTTTGGGTGATGTGTCTTTAAAGATGTTACTGAGGTGTAAGCTATGTAGTGTTTCACCTATATTTCCTTCTATATATACTACAAAGCCATAATGATCAAAACTGCATGGCATTGGAACAAGAACAGACACACGGACCAATGGAACCAAATAGAAAATCCAGAAATAAACCCAGATTTATGGTCAACTAATCTTTGACAAAGGAGCAATGAATATGCAATGGAGCAAAGAAAGTTTGTTCAATAAATGGTGCTGTGAAAACTGGGTTGCTACATGCAAAAGAATGAAGCTTGACTACTACCTCATACCTTGCACAAAAACCAACTCAAAATGGATTGAAGAACTAGACATAAGACCTGAAACCATAAAAATGTATGACTATTTACCAAAGAAAAAACTCAACTGCACTTAAAAAAAGTAGAAGTAGGGTTCAATAAAGGAAACTCAATTTTTATTTTCTTTGTGCAAGGAAGGAATGTTTTTTTTTTTTTTTTTTTTTTTTTTTTTTTTTTTAATTTGGGCTCTGTCAAGCCTTTGAGTTGCTACCTGCATGATTCTTTCCTTGCATTAACTCCATGAACAAGCTCCAGTTTTTTCCTCTTAGGATCTGGTCATAGGCAGACTTTTCATGTAAGTTTCAGTATCCCCACTACCCACAGGGGAAGTACTGGTTTCAAGTGGGCCTAGGTTCTACAGATGTAGACACTTTTGATTTGCGCCTTAGTCTTCCCTGCCTCTTCCATCTGAAACAAATGCCTCATCCAATATTTACTTTACTCGTTGATGAACCCTCTGGCAGAGTATCTTATCCCCAGAAGTTTTTCTAATCCCCTGTCCTTCTCTTTTGAAGGTTTTCCCAAACCTTCATCTGCTTCTTTGATCTTCAACTGATTATCTTCTAAATACTTTACTCTCTCTTGAGTTAGTGATAAATTTTTATCCTGTTTGCTAATCCTCCAAATCTAGGGATATCTATAACCTTATGAGAAACATTAGAAAGGGTTTTTTCATAGTGCACCAACCTTATTCACTCAAGAGTGCTTACAGGGAAAGAGTTAGCCAGGTCAGGGGCTAAAATTTTTGTGGTCACCTTTTCTCCATGAACTGATTGATGATTTCTTCTAAGAGATTTGCAAAGTCAGCTGTGGAGTCATCCCTTGAAACATGGGTAAATGAGCACTGAAAGGATGAAAGTGACTAGTTTGTTTACCAAGCGGTCTTTTAGATTCAAGGATCTCAAAGGATGTGCCCCTATACAGCCAATGTTGTATAAGGGTGCAACCACTGAGGACCTAAATCAATGAACACAATACCAAAAAGATATTTTGATATTCCATAAGCAATGAAGCTGCCAAATGCATATGGTCAAACAGTTATGGGGAAATGTAGAGTGGGAAGAAATCCACCAAGGACATATAACCTCAGTGATCCTATGTTGACTGATCTACTTCATCTTCTTGTCCATGTATGTGTTATGGATATTTTCAGGATCCTTCT